GAGAGAGAGAGAGAGAGAGAGAGAGAGAGAGAGAGAGAGAGAGGTGGGTGCTCACCTGTTTCCGCTAAGGAGCCCGACGGGCCAAAGGCGATTACGTTAAGATCCTGCCTGGGCCCGTAAACAAACGACGTATATACGCTATAGAGCCGGAGGTGCGTGGTGCGCTTCGCAAACGGAACAGACCCCCGCGCTGCTGACCGACTAATCGCCCTCTCTCTGCAGGCGCGGACGCTGGAGCAGAAGAGGGAGTGGAGCTTGCAGCTCAAGAGGGTCATCCTGGAGAACTACCACGCCGTCATCCCCTCGCACGCCCGACAGCTAGTCATGGAGCTGGGCCAGAGTCGCGCCGACGGTGAGTACGCAAACCCCACAAAAATGATTTGGATACTTTTTTTGTGAACTTGGAGTTCTTACCCCAAAAATGTGTGCCTAATTGTGATACTTTTTCGTGTACTTGGAGTTCTTGAGTGCTTTGCGCTTGTTGCGAGCATTGTATTGAAAGCAAGCGCAAATGCACTAAAAAGAGTACTAAAAAGTGTACAGAAATGTATGCCAATATCAAAAACACTTACATTATTTTCGGGCGTTCTGTAAATGAAAAGAGTACCCCCACCATTGAAAATGTCGGTATGCTTTTGTCGCAGACGCGCATCTGGCCGACAAGGTGACGCCCAGGAGGCAGCACTCCGCCCCGGAGTACCTGGAGAGGCGAAAGCAGGAGAGAGAGAGGCGCAAGCCCGAGACCGGCCTGCGATATCGCCTACGCCGCAACCGCAAGTCCGACGCAGACGCCAACTCTGAGGTTTGTGCCGCGTCCTTCTAGCCGCACCGCACCCCATAGCAGGGCCCTGTTTGACCTGGCCGCGACAGGCCGGCGTGGCGTAGCCTGGCGAGGAGAAAATAATGAAAAGTCTGCGGGCTAGCGCGGCTGCAGCCGCTCTGGAGCGGCTCTGGAACGACTCTGGAGCGACTCTGGAACGACTCTGGAGCGGCTCCGCACCGACTCTGGAGTGGCTCTGGAACGACTCTGGAGCGACTCTGGAGCGACTCTGGAGCGACTCTGGAGCGACTCTGGAGCGGCTCTGGAGCGACTCTGGAGTGGCTCTGGAACGACTCTGGAGTCTGGAGAGGCTCTGGAACGACTCTGGAGTCTGGAGAGGCTCTGGAACGACTCTGGAGTGGCTTTTGGAATGACTACGGTGGCTCTGAAACGACTCTGAATGGTCTGAAGAGGCTCTCGAGTGACTCTGAAACGACTCCGGAGTGGCTCTGGTACAACTCCGGAGTGGCTCTCTAGTGGCTTTGGAACGACCTGGAGTGGTCCAGAAGTCCAGGAGTGGCTCTGAAGCGGCTGGTGCTGATGCGCAGTGTTTGTTGCAGTCTGCTGCCACAAGGCGGGGCCGGCGGGGCTCGAGCAGCGGCCGGGAAGGAGAGAGAGAAGACTCGACACTTAGCCTAGCTGACCGAACGAGGGTAAGTTGTGGCGTGACAATCAGTAAGCTGCTTGTAAGCTTCTAAATAATTACACTCGGGTACCACTGCATACCCGCCAAAATAAAAAGAGGGGTCTCTTTAAAATCTTGTTTTACGAGGCGCTCGCCGGCCGTCCTACCTGCTCGACGAGGGCGCCCGTTATTTATGGCTTGTCCTCTGTTCAGGATCGGTTCGCGAGCTGGCGGCGGAAGTCGGAGCCGGCGGGCTACACCGGCAGCTCACTCGGCGTCGGCAAACGGCAGGTCGCCGTTGATGTCCAGATTCAGGGGCCGCTCAGCCCCTGTCCGTCGGGCGCACCGCTCGTCTGGCCGGCCGGGCTGGGCACCGCCACCGCCACTGCGACCACGGTGTCCACGGCGTCAACCTCCACCACCACGACGTCCTGCGCCGCCACCACGACCACCACCGCCACCACCACCGTCTTCGCCTCTGTCGCCACCACTGCGGCGGGGGGCGCCGCCGCCGCTAGGGGAGCGGGCGACGGCGACGACCAGCCCCCTGTCTACACCATTCGAGTTCCTAGGGAGAGCCCCTCCCCCGTCGCCGAGGAGGCGTCCACCCCGACGACGCCGGTCGCGTCCTCGCCCCTATTGGGCTCGCCGGTGACGTCGCCCCAACAGCCGGCCAAGACCATAGAGGAGATCGTGAGCCAGCTGCTGATGCAGAACCGGGAGTTCCAGCGGATCCTGAAGAAGCAGCAGCGCCAGATCAACCTCAGGCACCGCATCACCGCGCAGGGGGGCGGCGTCGCTCCCTGCGCCAAGGGGGAGACGACCGACGAGGAGGCGGACGACGGCGACGAGGAGGAAGAGGAGGAGGCCATCTACGAGACGCTGTCGGCGCTGGCCACGGTGCACCACCAACGCCACCACCGGCGCTACAGCCACAGCCACTCCGTGGAGTGCTCCAACGACGAGGACGACTACGTGACCCTGGTGTGCCACGACGATGCCGAGGTCGAGGAGGAGGAGGACGACGACGACAAGGACAGCGTCAAGGCCTCGGAGGACGCCGGGCCGACGGCACCACCGCGGACCAGGTTGCGCCGCGCCGAGAAGGAGGCCGTCGAGGAAGCGAGGCCGCCGTCTCGCCAGGACAGCCTGCAGAGCCTGTGGGAGCGGCTGCGGCGGTCGCAGCGCCTCCACAAGCCGGCGGTGGGCGGTCTCGGTGGTGGCCTCGGCGGCGGCTTTGGCGGCGGCGTGCGCAGGGCGGCCTCCTTCACCTCGCAGCAGAGCAACTCGCTGTTCTACGTGGACACCCCCGTGAGCCACGCCACGTGCCAGCCCATCACCCCCGCCGTGTGGCTCAAGCAGCAGGGCCCGCACCTCGCGCCCTCGCACGGCGGCCACAAGGCGGGCTCGCTGCCCCGGAGCTTCCAGGTGGGGCCGGAGGGCGAGGCGCTCCCCGGCCGCAGCAAGGAGACGCTCCGGGCGCGCATCCTGCGCAGCGGCCGCTCCTGCCCGGACCGGCCCTTCACCATCGCGTCGGACAAGCCGTCGCGCCTCAGCATGGAGGACATGGAGCGGCGCTTCCAGCTCGCGCACCTGGGCGACTCGACCGAGGACGACAGCATGACGGAGTACACGGCCACGCCCTCGGCCACGCCCAACGCCAGCCTCGTCAGCCTGCACGACCGCTTCGACGACGTGCACCCCGAGTACAAGATCTACCGGCCCACGCTGCCCTTCGCGGGCATGTCGCTGAGGCACGTCCTCGCCAAGCTCACGTCCGGACTCCGGGCCTCGTCGTCGGCCGCCTCGGAGACGTCGTCCCTGGACTGGGAGCGGCGCGGGCGGGCGCGCGACCGCGACCAGGAGCGCGTGCTGCAGCGCGAGCGACGCGTGGCTGCCGTCGTGGTCAAGCAGTACAGCAAGACGCTGCGCCGCCGCATCCGCAACCTCATCGGCGAGGAGGAGGTGGTGCTGGTGCGGGACGCGGCGCTGGCTGCGACCACCACCACCACGACGACGACCACCACCACCACGAGCAGCACCACGACCTACAAGCAGGGTAGCTCGGGGCTGGGCGCGCGCATCGCGGCCTGCGAGTCGGACTACGCCAACCCGCGCACGCTGTTCCAGCACGTCCGGCCCTCCAAGAAGGCCGCCGCGCTGCTCGGCGTGCGCCCCGACTCGGTGCTGTCGGTGGCCTCCAACCTGACGGCGTCCACGTCCTCCAGCGACGGCGACAAGACGTCCGGCTTCGGGGGCAGCGTGGACACCGCGCCTCACCGGCCGCTCGGGCCCGCCCCTCGCGCCGCCACCCTGGCCGAGGCCGAGACCACCGACGCCCTGGACGTGGACGAGGGCACCGCCGTGGCGTCCTCCGCGTCCTCGGCTGGCGAGGAGGCCGCCAAGAGCGACTGCTCGGCCGACAGCTTCTACGAGCGCTCGTTCGAGGCCATGGAGTCGGTGCTCGAGGCGACGGACGCGTTCCGGGACAGCGCCGTGTTCAGCGACCACGACGAGTGTTCCCTGAGCGACGACTCGTCGGGGCCGCCCAGCTACCCACCACCGTCACCACCATCCATGGAGGCCATCACCAGCGCCCCCTCCGCCTTCACCACCACCACCACCACCACGCCGTGCACTACCCGCTCGTCCGTAGCTCGCCTGGCCAGCCTGGGCAGCGCCGCAACGGAGTCCAGGACGTGTATCCCCATGCCCTCCCCAGCGGCCACCTCCACGCCGAAGATGAAAGTTCCTCCCCCCGTGCCCAGCAAGCCCAAGAAGAACTTCCGCGACCTGGGCAGCCTACCCGTGCCCGTGTCGGCGCTCGTCAGCCGGCTCAACGAGGTGGCCGTCCAGGAGGCCGTCCAGGTGGCGGCGCCCCTCGCCGTGCCGGACCAGGACGACCACACCGACAGCAGCTCGGTGGCCTCGACGGCGGCCTCCACGGTCATCGAGGCGGAGGGTGGCTGTCCCGGAGGCTGTGGCTCCTGCCCCTCCGGTCCGACCTCCAAAGGCTGGGTGAAGCATGTCATAGGACGCCTGCAGCAGGGCGAAGCCTACAGTACACAAAGCTGAAGTCAACTTTAGGATCAGGATTATGTTTTTTACAATTTTACAAAAGCAATAGCATTGCGTCAAAGACGAATTCAATTTTAGAATGAGTGTTATGTTTTTTATAATTTTATAAAAGCAATAGAACCTTGCGTCAAAGACGTATTTAATTACACTGGACATTGGTTCTGTCCTTTCTTGCTTCCAAGCTGGCCATACAATTTTAACTTAATTTAATTGATGATTCTGAATGAAGCTTAGAGCTCCTCACCTCTAGTCACAGCAAGGGATGCTCATTGTCAGTTATCGGAAACAGACTGTGAGGGGACTGTACCCCTGTCTTTTTTTATGGAATTATGTAGGCAGGTCTTTTTCATTCCTTTGCCTTGTCCACATTTCAGTATTTTGGGAGAGTTCTTGTTCATTTGTCCTTTATTATCAAGAAACCAGAAATTAAATTTCCTAAATATGTTAATTTACTTTAGGTACTGTATTTTCTTAACTCATTCACTTTATGATAGACTGCTAAGCTAGCACATATTATTTATGTTTATGCTCAGAAATTCCAATTAAAGACATGTTTTGGGGGGATAAGTCACAGTCATTATATTTTGAACGGAGATATATATATGTGCCTTATTTTGTAATGTATGAGTCAAAATGTATAACACTTATCCTCTCTTTAAAAAAATACAACTTGAGTGAAATAACAAATAAATATTTATTTCCAGATGTGTTCTTGTGTGTTGATTAAATTATACCAGTTGTTATGCCTTAGATATGTTTGTATGTATGTATATATGAGATAGTTTATGGACCAAATTTTACAGAAAACCTTGTGATACGACATGCCATGTTGAAGCTGATGTTTAGCTCATTTAGGGGTATACTAAGTCTTAATTTAACAATCAAATCACCTTTAGTTCCCATTTATATGTCGTTATAATTTTTTAAATATTTTTTTTCCTGTTATTCTTTGAAAAAAGCCATTAAAATGTTGCCATTTATTCTGTGACATATACATTTCATCGTTGATTTTGTTGTCTTCGATTGTTAACAGAAAGGTGCTTTCGATCTCAAAAGAAGATGTAAACCAAGCTGGAAACAGAATGTTGTTTTTCAAGTAAATGTAGGAATTATGTGTTGCCCAACTGATAGTCCAGCCACAGCCCTTACCAGTGCAGAATTCTTTAGTTTGTTGTGAATTTTTTAACTTAGCCTTTGTGGTGTGTACCAAATTATTGTAGCTGATTATATTGTCCCAAAACTTTATAGTAGGGCATAATATTTACATACTCACCATTGCTTGGCTTTTTCACAACTATCTCTGACTGTAGTGGTGTAGGGACTTGACAGGTGCAGTTAACATAATTCGCATGAGCTAATTTTTCTTTTTAATAATTGAAATACATTTATAAATTTTATAAAGTGCTATATCAATGTTATCCTTTCTCCTCTCTTGAATATTTTCCAATTATGTGTAAGACACTGCCTTGAAGCCGCGCCAGTTTTTGGCATTGACACGGAAGTCCACATTTTTGTTGACCACAGATGTAGTGTACATGCTCTTCTGACGAATTTGTGGATAGAACACATTTGGCTCCAGAGGACCTCGCATAATTTTGAAGATGTCAATGTATTTGTCTGGCTTGTGTGGAGGAAATTTGCTAAAGCAGCCATCATGATTATTGCCTGGCTGTAATGAATGGGATAGAAATTTGTTATTACCTTGTGATAGTAAAATTGATTTCTCCAAGTAAAGTAAAGAAAAGCTGCGTAATTAAGTGTTTTTTGGACAGGCCTCACCTTTTTAGGAAATTGTGGAGGGACCCAGACTACTCCTTGATATTTGGGTTTGGTTTCAGACCGACGGATGTATGTTGAGCCTGGCTTTACTACATGCCATGGGTTTCCATTGAAACAGGGACTGGGGTATATTGTTGAAATAAATGGACCATCAAGGATAAGTCTTTGATTTGCAGCTGCCATACCGTAACGGGATTGATATGGTTCAGACCTGGAAACTCAATTTATTTTGTATTGCAGCAGAACTAGACAGAAACAAAAGCAGTTTGACATATAAGTGCATAACACAAATAATACCCACATATGCTTAGGGAATTTGTTAAAAGTCGTGTCAGCATAGCCGTAAGTACCCTTTTTACCAGGATTTGTTTTCACGTTTGGCAACTCTGCTCCATGCTGTGGAGTTGATTTCTCTTGGCGGCTCATAGCTGGTACAAAATAAATTTCTCAGTTCACACAAATAAAAATCCTTTGATAGAATTTTAATCATTTTGTCATTTCCTAGATTTCTGAGACTAGAATAAATTTTAGATTACCAAAACTCAGGCCTGAACAAGTCATATACCCTTAACTCTGCCAGCAAATGTTCCATAAAAATCTCCAGGTGTGCTATGTTTCTTGCTAGGGGCTCCAGCTAAAAATGCAGCACTTGATATATTTTTCTTTGATGATGCCATCCTAGATAGTGTAAAACGAGATAAGAGCTTGCAAGCTTGTACAATAACTTAGTTTATACGCATAAATAACTTACGAAGCCAAATAGTTTTCTCTAATTGCACTCGAATATGCTTCCTTTTCAAAAATCCTTTTGAATGGCCCCTTATCAAAGTAGCAATCCTGGAGTCCCACCTTGGTCTTACCACCACCAGGGAGTAGTTGGCGACCTTTGGTGCCTCCTTTCCTGAATTCGTCTGAAAGAGGGATGCACGTGTGGTACATTATCAGTATATATTTCCCAAACAGTAAATCGTTGGGCCCATACAAAAGAGGTCACTTTCGGAAGAAATCAATCTACAAATATGATCTTCCCATTTGGTACCTACATCCATGAGGGGAAACGTATGGCACTCCATGCAACCATCCAGTTTCTGCAAATATTCCAATTCTCTCCATGTCCCGTTTTCCATAGTGCTGGCCTATAGGGGCTGCTGGGTGCGCCATCTTCGGCATTTTGTAGCCTTCTGTTATGCCACTCGCTCACCAAAATATGTTTGCCTTCAATTTCTTGGTATTAGTTGTGGCTGCTATTAAACACCTTCTCTTTTGATCCAGAAATCATTTTTAAGTTGTGTTCACAAACTTATACTGCCTCCTGGAATTTCGAACTCCACCCACATGAGAATCGTCCATTTTCCGACGAGTTTGACCGTCGCGCGGTAGCCAGCTCAGCTCAATATGAACAAACGCACATCGAAGTTGAGGCTCGCTGCCAACCAGACAAGTGTGAATGGGTGGCGAAAATTTAATTTTGAATTCTCCATGCAAACTTTTTTCTTGAATTGTGTATCTAAACTAATCATAAATACAATCGAAATGGTTTTCACATAGTTTTCAAGGAGAATGTATCGTTTCAGGATGTAAATCAAATTTACCGTGTACTGTAAGTCCCGAAACAAACAACATCAACAACAACGTAAACAATGTTGCAGGGGCAAGAATGTGTGTAAGTGCGGAGAAAGCGAGATGTTAGCACCAGAAGTTTGGGCTTTTGATCCTCCTGCCAGCACTTTGAAAGTTGTTCAGGGTACTGTCGAATCTTGCAAGGACGTGCAGGACCTAATCAAAAGTCATCCCTTGAATCACTTTGTAAGTAATTGTGTTATTGTTTTGAAGGTTATGTGATGTCCTTTTGCCTTCTTTTAGTCAATGTTTCGGACTTCAAGCAACGCTTTGTCCTTTTTAGGTTTCTGTTGTGCTCCCTGACACCCCACAAGTTCCTCAAGACATCTTAGAAGTTTTGTCATCTGATAATGAATACTACAAAGTAATTGATATCCCAGCACATGAACTTGTTGAGAAGGAATTCATTGATGCCTTTGTGAAAAGAGGTAAATGATTTTTGTATGCTTTTCTCTTAATGTCTTATTCAGGAGTACCTTTCTCTAATGAGCACCTCATCTTTTAGGCCAGATCACTGCTCTGAGCATCGACTCTTTAGTTGATTTGGATAACTGCCTATCATTGACACCAGATGGACACCTTGTTCTCTCGCTCATCAAAGAAAGCTACCAGGAATTAGGTTTGGAAGGAAAAGCTACTCTGTCGAAAGGCAAGGATCATCAAAGATATAGTAAGTTTTGATATTTATCATCATATGTATTAAATATAAAATGAGATATAGTATTTAAAATTCAAAATATAATTTTGTACAGTTCTTAATTTCTTTCAAATATCAGTAATTTAGCTGTTGTCTTTCTCTTTAATTTCTGGTGGATCAAAATGTTTTCCCTTTCAATATCTGTAATTTATCAGGTAGTTCACATTCCATAGGGGTTTTGCTGAACTGTGTGTCTCTTTCAGTTCTTATATCTGCAACTCCCTGAACGAAACTTTTTCATCATGCCAAGAAAAAAGTCCCCAGGTTCTCTTCAGGACCTGGCTTTGAAAAGCATTCGCCATGTCGTTCTGACAGTGGGTCAACAGATGATACGTTCAATTGCAGATTCACCTGAAGGAAGACTGGAATCTGAGACAGTTATGTTGCAAAATAGCATTGAAAGACTTAATGAAGCCTTATTTGCCAATGTGCCTTGGTACCTTTTTGACAGAATGTCTCAAGTAGTTTTAGAGACTGTGCATGAACTTATTATTGAAACAAGGGCTTATTTTGACAATTGCCTTCCCATATCAGTATTTGTTGCTCGTATGAACATTGTTGTGAAAATGACTCTTGTGGCAATTCATCCACAGTTGAAGAGCATTGACTTCTCAGCTTGGCCTAAAGTAATGCGCAATATTCTTTATCAGAATCTGTTCAAAATGACTGGTCTAGAGATCCTGAATCTTGGGTCTGGTTCAGGTGGGTGGGAAACTTCTGACATTGAAAAGTCAATTCTTTCTGGTGTAATCCAAATGAAATATCTTGTCTCTCTGTGTCTGTGTTTTGACTGCACTGATCACATTCTCTCTGTGGTTGGACAAAATTGTACTTTACTTCAAAAGCTGGATGTGACTTCCTCTCGATCTGTCACAGATCGCAGTGTTTCCTCCTTGTTGAATTGCTCAAAATTGAAACAGCTATTATTGTACCGAACGTCTGTCTCCACTGAAGGTTATGCAATTTTACTCTCTGATTTGCCTTATCTGGAAGACCTTGGCCGTTGTGATGAATTTGGGTATATTCTTGAGCGTATCCGAATAAATGGGAAGTTCCAAGGCCCATTCAACCTTCGCTCTTTTCAAAGCAGAGATGTGACTACATCTCATCTTCATTTACTTGTTTCAATGTGCCCACAAGTGACACATGTATCGATATTTCATGATGAAAGAATTAGTGACCTAACTGTGTTGTCTAACCTTGATCAACTGACTGAGCTGAAACTTTTGTCCTGCGATTTCTTTTCTGACAATATCAAACCATTGTTAGAAGCTAAAGGCTCTAATTTAACTTGGTTGCACCTAGAGCATGTAGAAGAAATTGATCTTAATGCTTTAATATACATAAGCCAATATTGCCCATTACTGAAAAAGCTTGTGTTGTACAACTGTGAGTTCTTGGATCACACTTCAATTTCTTTGAGAACTCTTCATATCCCTCCTTTCAGGCATCTGGAAAGAATAACATGCATAGCAGATTGTGCTCAAACTCATTTAGAGTTCTTGTTATCAAACTGCTTTAATATTCGTTTCATTCAGCTAGGGTCTTCTACTGGAATTGGTGATGCCATCATGGCTAAAGTATTAGCTGCAAACCCAATGAAAAAATTGGAAGAACTACGGATTTTGTACAGTGATGACTTAAGCATGAGAACAGTGTCTCTTTTAATGACTCATTGTGAGAATTTACGTGTATTGTCAGAGCTTGAAAGTTGGGAAGGAATAACCAAACGTGAGCTTGCTGCCTTTCGATCTGAAATTCAAGAAAAAAATATTGATCTGGATATACGACCTACTCTTTCTTATTAATTTCAAAATTATGTTTGAAATGTGAAGTGATAACCCAGGAAGCTCAGTGATGAAGAAAGTGTTCAATGCAAGGGGACTTGCTTGGTGGCTCTTTCTGTAAGGAAAAACTGTTTCTTACTTTGGCTCCTACTGAAATTTAATACCAATTTTGGAAAATCTTGAAAAGCAATGAAGAAAGGAATGGAAAAACATGACACCCTATTAGCAGACTCTTTGAGGAAACGTGGTTTGAAGAATAAAACCACCAAAATTTGGAATAGAATCTTGATTTTATGTGTTAATTTCTTTTAGCAACATTTGCAGACTGAAAGACAGTTCCGCCCGCCTGTTGTCAGTTATGAGGATGACAATATTTCTTATCTTTGACTAAAAATTAATCTGTGATTAATACTTTTTAATCTAATCTATTCTGCTTGATTTTCCTTGCTTGAAATTGTTTGTTATTTGTTGGGAAAAAATGAATGTTGTTTTCTGACAAGTTAAACATTTGTGATTGTGTCTGTGTTGTAATATTGATTGTGATATTACCTTTAAGTGAGAGTAGTGAAGTGTTATGTATTGGTTGTTGTATGTCTTGTAAGGTATTACTTTGTAATATGAAAACTGAAGTGTTGTGGGTTGATTCTTAATGTAATGATGACACTGAAAAGAATGGGCTAGAGACTCAGTATTCCCTAACATTGGTATGTGATAAATGTAAAAAATTGAAATGTCACCTTATTAGTGGAGCTTTTGTTTTAGACTGGTTTCTTGTTTTATAGTCATTAATAGTTTCCTGTTCTATCTAATTGCATTGTCATGATTTCTTGTGTGCTGTTCTGGTGTGGAAATATGATGTGGCTTAATTTAGAGCTTTAATTTTTAATGTGACTTTCGTTTTTCTCTTAATATGAAATGATACTACTTAAACGGATAAAGCCTTTTCTTGCCCATTCTTACTGCTTAGAGAGCATTGAACAATAGTTATGCCCCATATATTTGTTATTTGTATGATTATTATTTTTTTTTGCAAAAATAGCTAAAGAAAAACAAAACTCTTGAATATTTGGTGGTTAATAATAATTCATTGTGTACTTACATTGCACTATAGATATGTCTGTACTAATGTGACATAAAAATGTATGTCAATTATAATCAATTGTCACATTTTCCTTTCCCTTATGTCCCCACATCCAATGCAATTCACTACACAATTTCATTTCATTTGCATTGGTGTGATGCATTGATTGTATGAAGGTTACCACTTCATGATGGAGATGTTTCAATCAATTATTCTGTCTTTTTATTTGCCCCTTGACAGTTGTCTCCTTGGATCTGACTGCCAGCCATTTCATACCTGGTAAAAGGAACTATGAACGAGCCCATAGTGCTTTGAAGAATTGCCTTCAACCATTCAACTTAGTTTTGTCATGGGATCCACCAGGTGAAGTTGTAATGTAATTTGGTCTTTTTTCTGAAGACTTACTACTACTGTCTGTTCATAACTGTTTTTTACACATTTGCAGATGGAAAGATATGCCCATCTTCGGTAGCGTCCTATTTGTGTGGACGGGGTCTTACCGTGGAGGTTTGTAAGCCGAGGTGTGTTCAGAGAAGGGACTTCAATGTCGCTGTACCTCAACTTTATCCTGATGAAAAAGAATGTGACATCCAAGAAATGATGGAATGGTTGGGTTCATTTTCACTCAACATTCAGAGGTAAAGAGTCATGACTTTCAGAAATTTCCTTACCCATGAGAATGTTTACGGACTTGACAAATTTTTTCCCTGACTCTAGACCTGAAAGTGAATTTTTAAGTTCATACCAAAGTCCTGAAGAGACCCAAGATGTTGGGCAGGTTGCTTATTTGTCTTGGGAAGGACTCTTCACTACATCTCAAGTCCTACGTCTCTTCGAGTCTGTTAGGTACAATAATTGTACAG